AATGCATTATTTGTTAGTGGACCGCCCTAAGACCGAACTAGGTTTAATTTAAACCTAAAAAGAAAGAAAAAAGAAAAAAAGACGATTACGATGTGAAACCATCGTAATCGTCTTTTTTTCTTTTTTATGCCATCGTAAAAATCGTATACTTAATTGTATTTTTTTATCCGCACCGCAAGCCCAAAAATTATTATGTGCTTTATGTGAGAGTTTTTTTTTGATCAAGGGAAAATCATCAAATGACTTCTCCCACGTAGGGTAAGGCGAGAGACAGTGTCAGACTCTTACTGACTAAAGCCCTCGTTCCTTCTCCTGCTATGGGCAGTCAAATTACTTCTGAAATAAATAGGTGACATTGAAACCTCAAAAAAAAATTTACAAGAACACGCGAGTCCTCTAATCAAATCGATAAAGCACATGTGCATGGAAGCGTTAACAGCGTTCTGAGGGTTATTGTTAGTAGTCTAGACTGCTATTATCTGATGCATTCGATAGGCAGGCGTAGCTTAGTGCCCTGGAGGTAGGAAAACGAGAAATTAATACTAAAACGACTCGGCGACGGCTGTGCGTGTAGCAGCGCGACAGTCGCCGAGTCGCGTGTCGCGGAATGCTGCTCATGAATATGGGCCTCTAGCATGGCTTGAAACTAGTCGAGTATCTCGTCAAATTATTACGTGAGTAAGCCGAAAATATTACAATTTAAAATTGAAATGTTATCAACTTTATTATGTTTTAATTTCGTTGAATGCTTCTTCATTTATTTTTTGCAATTGAGATCAAATCATTATCTTCGATGGTGAAATGCCAATACCTACTACATGTACTTTTTCTAGATACTAATTTTTAACCTAGCTTTTTGCATGTTAAAGCAAATTCACTTAATAAACATTTAATTGCAACACCATACCAAAGAATATTATGACGTTTTTTACAAATAAAAAACGAGTCTTTAGAAAAATATCAGTTAGAAGGTATTGGTAAGTATTATGGTTTATCGGTTTAGGTTGTCAATTTAAGGTAAACAATCTTGTTATGTCTTTTTATATAAAAGAGGTAGTATAAAATAAATACAAGGATTAAAGGAAAATAAATAGGAGGTATTTAAATTTTTGACTGCACGTTTGGTGCGGTGGCTGGGCAACTGGCTGCCGTGCAACGTGTCGCGAAAATGTCTGTTTGTAACAGCACCCACGACACAGGAGAAAATCGTAACGTGTGGCAACGTCTTTTATCGAAAATAAAAAATAGTTTATTAGCTAACAATCGAATTATGTAAACACCTGCTTGTAAGCATTCATATAAAAAAATTAGACAACTTTTAGATAAGAAGACTCAAGATTGCTTACATTTTGTTAATTAGGTACCTAAACCGATAGGTAGACCATAGTTTATAATAAAAGCAAAATTTTACGAAAGTTGTTATAGAAATGAAAACTGTAAAAGTATAATAATGTAACTAGTCATGAGACGGGCGAATGGAACTAGGCAGATTAGCGTCTATGGTGAAGAAACCGTAGGCAGACATCTTGTTAAATGTTCGGTTTACTTGTAACACGCGTTTACACAAGCGATTGTAGCTCGCTGAAAGAAAAAGATACATTAAACCTATTGAATTACATCAAAACTGAAAAATTGTAAAACAAAGGGTATGTAGTTTTATTTTAATAGTTTAATACATAATATATCCAAGTAAGTGTCGGACAGCATGTTTCGGCACGAATGGACCGGCTCGACCGGAGTGATACCATGGCCTCACAGAAAACCGACGTGAAACAACCACAGCGTTGTGTGTCGTCATATGAGTTAGGTTACTGGAGGCCCAATCACACCCTTACCTCCGTCCCTTCCTGCCAATATATTCTGTAAAAAAAACTACGAATTCGAGAATAGAAAGGTGCTAACTATAACAACGCTAGTGTTGTGGTTTGCCCAGTGCCCGAGATTACTATAGGGTCAATCCCACACCTCCCTAATCCTCCTCATCTTTAAATACGAGCCTTTGTGAGTTGTCGGAACTCACAAAATGCTCGCAAGGTACATATAATTCCTTTGGTGATGTTTATGGACAGCACCGATTGCTTGCCATCAACTGACCTTTTTTTTATTGTCAGGGGAAAATCATCAAATGACTTCTCCCGCCCAGGGTTAGGCGAAAGGAGTGTCAGACTCCTTCCCTTCCCGTTCCTTCTCCTGACCTGCCTGTTCGTTTGCCAACCTATATCACAATAGATATTCCATTCGTCAGTCAACTTTCAATAAAAAATATGAAGATCGTTCGACTTTGTACCTTCTACAACTTTACACATATAATTTAACTTTATTATTAATACTTACTCGGACAGTTTACAAGCATGACTCTCTGTATGCAAACAGACTTAGCTTCTTCCAAATATATGTAAAATTTTTCACATCTCACACAAATGCAATTGATCATTATTATGTCTTTCAGCATCCATGACACCAATATGAGACAAGTAAACAGGATGCTTCGCAAACGCTAAAAATCGATGGGAAAAGAAATTAGGTATTCTACCAAGGCAATATAGCTCAAAATTGTGCACGTGTAATCAGTTGTTTGCAAGTAAGTTAAAGGAGAAATTTTGGCAATACCAATAATATTTCATATCAGTTTATCAAGCATAAACCAACTTTGGGAGAGCCTTGCTTCGGCACGAATGGGTCGGCTCGACCGGAGTGATACCACGGTCTCATAAAAAAATGGCGTGAAAGAAACAACCTTACTGTGATTGTCAGTGCGGTTACCGAAGGCACGAAGGCACAATCAAACTTACCCCCCCCCCCCAAACCCTCCCCAATTATATCTCCGAAAATCTCCAAAATGCCAGCAATACTGGGTAGCTTGTTGATGATGTTGAGGGTCTCCATGGGTAAGTCGATTGCTTAACATCAAGTAATGCGACTGTTCGTTTGCCGTCATATCACGTAAAAAAAGAAAATAAATCGTGTCTAATGTTTGAATTATACTAAAACATAATTCACAACACGGATATTAAATAAGATATACTAACCTCAAAGGTCGAATTTTGTGGGTTTGTAATCTGCATAACATAGACACATAAATAGCTTAAACCTCTAGTAAAGGTGTCGGTAACGCGGCAAAAAATCTGCCAAGAAAAAAATAGAATATAAATTTTGTTCATTTTGAAGTTCTGAAAAGAACCAATAAACACTTCCATCACAGTAAATGTTTTACAGAAAGAAATATAAGTACTTAATAAATGTAGACTTACAATTAATTTAAATATATTGTTATGCAAATTGAAAGCTTCTAAAATATTTTCATACAATTTAAACATATTGCAGCAATATTCATTATTTTCATCTTCATGTCTCAATTTCCTCATACGTTCAACCCATCGTTTAAGATACTCGACCAACAAATTCATTAAGCGAATACCATAAATCATATTATAATCAAAGGCAACAACCATTAAATCGCCACTTATGTCAACAAAACTAACAGAATCTAAGAAACGATAGAAAAAGTAATTGAAGAAAACAAAATTGCAGATAACTACAGAGAAAAGAATCCAAGTACGCCTGGTGTAACTGGGAAAATTATTGCTGATATCGAAACTCCGGTTGATTCTTTGAATAATTAAGATTAGGTTCATGTTATCACTGCTGTATACAATGTTGTGAATTAACAATAATATAAAATTAATGGAAAATAACACAACACAAAAGGCAGTGACTTTTGAGTAAATCTCATCGAAGTCATTCCAATCACGCAAGAACATTAGAGTAAGACTTGTAAAGTTGAAACAAAAGACAATAATGAACAACAAAATCTGATATTTCTTTTCACAGGGAAATATGAAGCTGTCCCTAATTTTGAACTTTGAAGAGAAAAAACGGAGAGGACGACGTTATAAGGTCGAATTAGTTTTTCAATTTCTTTATCAAGTTTGTTGTCGAATTGAGTAACAGCTGTTGTGCACATCCATTGTTTGGATATCTCCCACATATTTATTAATTTTTAGTAAGCTGTTGAAGGATTAAAATTCTTGTTTGTTTTGAAAGTAACAAAACAAAACATACAAGTAATTTAGGTCACTGATTACATCAATGCCAGATACAACAATTTATCATTTCAGTTTTCATTAGACAAATTACTTTAAGTAACTAGTGTCTGTCACCGATTTTTTTTATAAAAACGCTGTTGGGCTAAGCTGTTTCTTTGTTATGGGTTAGATTGGCAAACGGTCAGAAAAAAATCCTGATGGTAAGCAATTGACGCAACACACGAAGTCACAAAATACCAAAGAGGCTATAAGTCCATTGCCGGCCTATAATGGGATTTAAGGATTAGGGAATTGGGAGAGAGGGACTGGCCCTTCAGTAATATCACTAACTTGGCAAAACAACGATAGTGGAGTTCTTTGCCTTTCTATTCTCGAAATCGTAGTATGTTTTCGATCAAGCCGGCTCATTCACCAAAACATGACTTTCCTACACTTAAATTTCTAAATTACTGTAAAATAGTTCAAAGGCGGTCAATTTGGCTATATCGCACCTTTTTCCACGTGAAGCGCGATAAGTGTCTACTGCTAACTTCCTCTGATCATGTTTGATTGACATTCTATCAGACCAAAGGCTTTCCATGCATCCTCTTCTTAGACAGACACAAGAGGGAGTGTCAGACTCTTACTGACTAAAAACCATTTGGTTCCTTTTCCTGCTCTGGCTAGGGCAATGGTACATTTGTGAGCTTGCAATCGCAAGCTAAGCTCATCTTATGAAACCTTTTTAACGAAATAGGTTTTTAAAATCATTACATTTTTGTATAAATTAACAACGGTTTTTATAGGATAGGAGACAACCAAGCACACGAACTGCTGCTGCTGCGATAACTGCAACACCAGAAGAGGTTTTTTTTCCGTAATACTGCTGCCGACAGTTTATTCCAAAGTTAAGTCGAGTACAGTAAAATAAACAATGCATCAAAATTTATTTTATTTTTAAATAGTAATCCAAACGCTTATTTACTAAAAAAACCTATAAAAATAGAAGAACCCCTTTCCCATCCCATTTCTACACACTGTACAAAATTCAAAGGAAAACGAACTGCAATAAAACAATAATATAATTAGTCAAGAGACCCAACAAAGGCATTGGGAGTTTGGCGTCAAATGTGAAGAATCCGTAAGCTGACATCTTGGTAAATAAATGATTGTATTGAAGCACTCGCTTGTACAGATACTTGTTGCTTTCTGTAAAAATAAAAAGTAACCATAAGGTTTATCTATCTCTTTGCACATGCATGATGGTCTATTAGCCCCACAGATGAGGTTCAATACGGCTGATGTTTGGCTAGGATTGCGCTATAATTGTCATGACTCCATCCCAGCAGAAAGAACGGGATGATTTTAGTCACAGGCGGCACCAGTTGCTTACTTTCCGGTAATCCGACTGCTCGTATTTCGCCCTATGATCTGTTTCGTAAAGTGTTATAAACGTACATACTAGTATCTTGTGCTGTATCATCTACGACAAGATTCTAATGAGTACCTGGCTAAAGAGAAACAAATTCCTTACTTGGGCAATCCCTCTTCATTACAAGCTGTATGCAAGCCGATTCTGCCTCCTCTATATGCATTTGAAACTTTTCGCACTGCATACAAATCGCAGATATTATTATTATATTTTTTATCATCCAATCAAGTCCTACAATTAAAGTTGCTATAATTGTATAATTATGCTGAAAGTAAACGTAAGAGATTATTTAACAAAATGGCCCAGGTATTAAAATAATTAGTCTAAGATATCTCTCTTTGAGGTACCTAACTAAAATGAAAAGTGTCAAAGCAAAAATTACTCACAATTTCTTCTTCAACATGCGAATATTTAAAATCAATGAAATATAAGTATAGGTAAATTAAGCCACGCATAAACAAATCTATTGTTCTGAAGAAAATCTGTAAAGAAAAATCTGTAATAAAATCACTTTCAAACGCTATGTTTATGAATTCTACTTAAAGTCACTACAACGCTGAGTCTCGGACTTTATCTATTATATATTAGTATGTTTATTGTATATGTATTGTTGCAGAAATTATTTATGTAGTATATATTATTTATATTAACATATATTTAGGTAGTATTTAGTAGTAAATATTTTGAGTATCTATGTTTGTAAAGTCTATGTATGTTATTTATTCCTTATAATAATTACACATGCCTATTCTTTCGCCGATTTCCTATTTAACCCTAAGGTTGACTGGGAGAGAATGCCATATGGCATTAATGTCCGCCTTATGTACCATCACTTGTTTTGTGTACATTAAAGTTTAAATAAATAAATAAATAAATAAATAAAGAAGAGGAACTTATTATGATACAAATATATGGCTTGAAATTTGCAATGATATTGTTGTTGAAACCAAATTATAAATGAAGGTAAAATTTTATAAAAGAACATGAATTTGTACACAACCGTGAACATTAAATGAAATTGTACTTGTAACGTCAAACTTGTCAGTTACAAAGTTTTTTCATAAAGTTATAAAAAAAAACAATCATGTTTTGTTAGCGTGTTTTTTAAATGAAGGTTACAAATGGTCTTACTTACAAGTACTGTAAATATTGCGGTAAACAATTTATAAGCTTCCAAAATATCTCGATACAACTTAACCAATTTGTTACAATCCTCTTCATTGTTTTGTTGGTTATCCATCTTATAAACTGATTCAATCCACACATCAAAGTATTTGTTGAATAACACCAAAATACGAATTCCATAAATTAAGTTAACATCGAACACTACTATCATTATATCAATACTCACGTCAGCGAATGAGATATAAAAATTTAAAAACCATATAATTGTCAATAAAGAAATTGCGAGAGATATAAAAAGGGAAATAAAATTCCAATTAATGTAACTTCGGAAACTCTTGTTGATATTAATGGCTCTGGTTATATCTTGGATTTTCATGATAAGAGCAATATTGGTATGACTATAAAAAATATTATTGATGATCAAAATAAGGTAGTCGATGAAGTAAAATGCAGAACTAAAAATGATAGACAAACAATAGATCTTGTCACCATATTTGACGTTATCGTTTAACATGAAACTGATAACGTTACAGAGGCTCCAAGTAAAAAAGAATATGTTTACGATAAAAATAACAATTTGATAAATTTTGTCGCATGGGAAAATGTAACGGTTTCTTATTTTAAATTTTGATGAAACGAACAGAGTAAATATTAAATTAAAAGGCTGAACAGTTTTATAAATATTATTATCTAGTCTATTATTGGAGTACGATGAAATTTGAGATTGTATGGCAATGTTCCACATTTTCTTTTGTATTAAAGTTATGTTTATATCGCTAGACGCTGTCAACGAATGAAACAAATTCAATATCGTACTAGTGATTACATTGATTGAGTTTCCCGGGAACTGAACATTAATCATGGCTGTCTTTGTGACATATTGTGGAAAATTTTCTTTTATTATTTTGTGTCTCTTTCTATACGTACAGTTTAAGGTTAAGATCTTTAATATCTTTAATATTTTTAATATTCAATTTTGAATCTTTCTTATGTAAGTCTATTAAGTATACATATCTTAATATTTAATTCATAGATTTACTTATTTCTTGCACCTATAGTTATTATTCTGCATCAACAAAAGGTTCGACTGGCAGAGAATTCCTTTCGCATCAAGTCCACCTTGTACAAAGTTTTGATCATAACCGTCAAATAAATGATTAATTTATGGCCTGCAGTGATATGGTTGTTTTCTCTTGAACATCTTGAACTTTAAGAAGATAAATAAGGAAAGAACAACTTTGAAATGCGGCCTACCAAGGACTGGTTTCATTTTTAAGGTTCTGAAAAATATTCCGGTGCAACTGTAGCGAGAAATAAAATTATTTGTATAGTTCAAAAATTCTGCATCATAGCCATGTTTAACCCCAAAGTAACTGATAGAACTGTCTAACTATATTTCAGCCTCATAAATTGTAAAAACGATAAATCGTACAACATTTGAAATCAACATATTGTCTATTAATCAAAATTTATTGTGTATTAATCAAAACCCAAGCGAATGTTCGTGCTTCTATTGTGTCTCCTTTTACCACGATTGAGACAAATATCATTTTTTTTATGTAATAGGTCGGCAAACGAGCAGACGGATTACCTGATGGTAAGCAATCAGCGCCGCCCATGGACACTCGCAACGGAGGAGTTACGAGTGCGTTGCCGACCTTTTAGGGATTAGGGATTTGGAGATTTAGGGATTGAGGAGGGATTGGGGAAGGGGAAGGATTGGGCCTCCGGTAACCTCACTCACACGGCGAAACACAACGCAGTGGTTATTTCACGCCGGTTTTCTGTGAGGCCGTGGTATCTATCACTCCGGTCGAGCCGACTCATTCGTGCCGAAGCATGGCTCTCCCACACTTACTACACTACACTCATAACATACACACACTCATACACTCATAATAATATTTTAATATTATTATACTATTTTTTTCGCAAATATTAATTCTGGGACATTATATCAAGTATTTACTGTCAGTCTAGCTGTGCATTAGCAGAACAGGTTAACTAGCAGCTAACTTGTAACGTCAAACTTGTTAGTTACCAAGTTTTGTCGCTTAGCCATTGAATTAAATGGTTCGTGCGAAGTAGCATCAACAATGTTATACGAACATGACAGAATATGTTCACGATTTCCGTCTTAGGGATTTAGCAGTCAAAGTCAGGTCAAAGAATTTTTTTAAGTAATCCTTTCAAAGGAAGGAAGGAAACAACCACAGCGTTGTGTTTCATTGTGTGAGTGAGGTTACCGGAGGCCCAATTCTTCCCCTCACCCAATCTCTAAATCTATGAAACCCTAATGCCCAGAAGGCCGGCCACGCACTTGCAAAGCCTTTGGTGTTGCGGAAGACCTTCGTAGCAGCCGCTGAATGACATAAAAAAAATGTAAAAGACGATGAAGACTTTTAATTTTTTAACATTTTTTTTATTTTACGCTTTTTAGTAGGTTCACATATGAGAAAATATTCTAATTGATTGTTCAATTAAATTAATACATCACACATACATCATCAGCTTTTAAGTGCCCACTGCTGAGCAGGTTCAGCTCACATGGGGAAGCTTTGAGCATTAATCACCACGCTTGCTCAAGTCGGATTGACGATGTCAAACTTATAATTAGACAATTTAAGTCTAGTTTTCCACCGTAAGATAGTGATGTCTTAATTATCATAGAACGTACATGTAACTCGGAAAAGGTCACATTGGTACTTGCCAGGTTTTGGACTCCACCTGGAGTCTGGACTACCACGACGTTCTTCAATGAAATGAAATGAATACAGCAATTGAATGTGCACTGGTAAACCGAAGGAACTGCATAATTACAAGTACGTGAATTCTAGTTAACATGTCGATAAATCAAAAGACATTAGAAACGCTGGCTATTACACATTGCTATAGTGGATAGGTTCCGCCATAGACTTACTAACAGAACAGAAAACGAACTTATGACTAGGTAATGTATATTTTTGTGTATTCACATCAAATGACTTTTCTCGCACATAGTAAGACATAAGGGAGTGACAGAATCTTACTGACTAAAAACCCTTCCGTTTCTTTTCCTGCTCTTAAAATAGTTACGGATGCAAGCACAACAATTTTTCGCGGCCTGGCTCAGAACCAGAGAAGGATCCAGGGGTTTTTGTCACTACCCCAGTCTGCCACTCTCTCTCGCCTCTAGCAGGGTGGATGAAGTTATTGGATTTTCCCTTCCCTTTCCTAATAATAGTAATAATTATGTCAAAAGCATTATATTGCTGGTCTACTTTTGTTCAGATCACATCATCAGCTTAGGTATAAGATCCCTGCTGAGCAAAGGCCTCTTCTCACTCCGAGAAGGTTTGCGCATTAATAATGGAGAATTATACGCAACATTAATCTTATTCAAGGCGGATTGGCGATTTCCAACTTTTAATTAGAAATTATAAGACCTGGTTTCCTCACGACGTTTCCCTTCATCGTATGTCAATGGTCTCTAAAGAATTATAGATAGTTCATATAACTGGGAAAAAGTCACATTGATACGTGCCAGATTTCGAACCCCCTAGGCCTCATGTATGAGAAGAGGACGCCTTAACGTCCAAGCCACCACGACTCTTGACTTTTTTTACGTCCAAAAAACATATGTTGTAGATGGAAAACTGCAAGAAAACAATTAAAGAGAGATAAAAGTGTACCTGTCTATTTCTGCTGTACTCTAAGTCAAACGCATAGCACCGTGTCCAACTATGATTTACGATATCGCCACTGAAAATAAAGCGCGCAGGTTTTATTTATAACCTGCACCTACAAGCTACCTGTAAAGATATAGATAGGCTAACCAGTTATACCCCAAAAATATAGGTACGAATACTCTAGTTTTTCGCAATAACACCAAAAAATGCGATGTGAAAAGTTTGATGTGATATTTCAGAATGTATCCATATATAGAATATCATACACCAGGACCTTAGTTTCATGAAAAAAGTAGTGTTTTGAATGTTACTTTTGTTTTCAATTATATATATATAAAATAGCTCCTGTCAGGGTGAGAGGCACGCAGCAACTTAGAAATAAAATTGAGTTATGCTAAGACCTCACAGAAAACCAACGTTAAACGTAAAACGTTTGGCCGTGCATATGAAGTTACTAGAGTCCACATCCCTCTGCCTGTCCCCCAATCCCTTCGGAACCCCAAAGGCCGCAATGCACTCGCAACTACTCTGTTGTTCTGTGTGTCCATGAGCAGGGTCAATTGCTTAACATCAGGTAACAATTTGTTTACTGCCCCATTACCAACATAAAAAACCGCTTTTGTTACGTTATAATACTTCCACTTAGATAGCTTGGCTATTTTCAGTTGAGGTATAACTCATTCCCAATGGATCAAACTTGCTCGACTATTTCCAGGCTTCTAAAAATATATGTGAAAGGTTTTATCTCTCAAATAAGACATGGAATATCATGATACTAGAAAAAAAAACAAAATAACAATTATAAAGACAGAAAAAATTCAATGCAAATAAACCAATAAGTTGTAATTAAAAATGAAATCTTCCTCCTTCCAACGAAATACAAGCATAAAATAAGTAAATAATTATTCGATTTATACTCATAGTAGACCACGGTCTTTTTGTAGGAAAACCATGGTTCGGCCGGAGTGATACCACGGTCTCAAAGAAAACCGTCGTGAAACAACCATAGCGTTGTGTTTCGCCGTGCGAGTGAGGTTACCTGAGGTTACCTCACTCGCACGGCTAGGTTACCTGACCATACTTCATCCCCCCCAATCCCCAAATCACCAAATCCTTTATCTCAAAAAGCTCGGCAACGCTCTCGTATCTCATGTGCTCATGGGCGGCGCTGATTGCTTACCATCAAGTTATCCGTCTATTCGTTTGCCGACCTACCAAATGAAAAATCAAAATAAGATTTTTTATATTAATTTTAGTCTGGTCCTTTGCTTTGAGAAATTTCTTTTGAAATGAATAGTACTCGATATACCCGGTTTAAGGTGCTCCCACTTCCCCCGAAAGCCGGTTAAAGGCTTCCTTTTGACCGCGTGGTTATGGCTTAAAAATAGATTAAACCGAAACGCGCTAAGCGGTATCGGTCGGGAAATTGCTTTAAGAATACACCCTTTGTAGTTGTTTGTCTTTTAAGGGGCTTTTCTGGGATACGTTGTTGGATATTTTTTTTATTTTTCTCAATGTAGACAAGGAAAGTAATTGCCATCTTTGAAATATTTTGTTATTGCATAGCATTTTATATTCCATGTTTATCTTTACTTTCGGAACAATCGTCAGCTTATTCGATGAGTAATTTTCTTTATTACGAAGAAAGAATTGTTTCTTATCTTCCTTACGGAGGTGCCATAAAGAGAATTGGCCTTTGCTGACAAGTATATTATTTTGATTTCAAACTCAAGTTTATCACCAATTTTGATTAAATAAAATCAACGGTACGATGTCAGACCACTGCTAAAGTAAAACTCTTCTTTGAATGGGTTCACAAAAATCTTAATATTTAATCTGAAGCTTACATGAATTCTTAAGGTTTATCAGAAGCCGGTTGCGGGGTAAGCCCAATGAGGCACTAGAACCTCGGCACAGAGCAGGAGAAGGAATGGGGTTTTTAGTCAGTAAGGGTCTGACACTCCCTCCTGTCCAACCCTGGGCGGGAAAAGTCATTTGATGATTTTCCCCTCACAAAAAATAAAGTTTATCAGAGAAAATTGATTTTGCAACATCAGAAGAGTAACCAGTGTTGCCCGGCCTTTTGCGGTTAGGGTAACGGAGAGTGAACAGACCAACAGACTATTATTCTATTTTGACGTGTCAGATTTATGTTTTTTTTATTTGGAATAACTGAGCTTAAGTTTGACTTTGAAGATTGCAGATTAGGGGAAGGATTGGACCGCTGGTAACCTACCATGGTGAAACATAACGCTATGTTTGTTACACACAAGTTTTTCGTGAGTCCGTTTATCGCTCAGGTCGAGTCGATCCATTCATGCCTTCTATCAAATGTGTAATCGCTTCAGTCGGGTCTTACACAACTTGCGAAAAGAATAGGGGTATTTAAAACATATTTAACTCCACCATCGTCACACAGCTATGCTCCCTTCACCACATACGATAAATAAATCAATAACAACACTCAACGCTCAGCAGATACCAAAGGACTGCCACTCAATATTACCAAGATATGATTCGAGCCAACATAGACGCATAATTCAAAGCCCGCACTCGACTGAACCGATACCCTGTAACTCGATTAGCCGTACATCTGAGGGCAATCGATATGATACTATGTATTCGATACACGATATTATATGTACCTGTATTGAATATAGAGGTGTGGTTCTGTGAGTGTGTGAACGGTGGTTTAGTGCATTGTGGTGGTTGCGAATCATTAGGTCTTTTACTATAAGGTCTATATTTTCATCATTTTTTTCTTAGCGGTTTTCGAGTTC